AAAATCCCAAGACTAATTGAATTTCAATCTGTTTCTTTCAACTTGTATGAATTAACATTGATTCTCATGCTACGATTTGCTCTTTGTTTATCAATTTGAGGATACAGTTGAAAAAAAAACCCTAAAATCCATGGTTTGGTTTATGAGGTGCAGTGCATCTGATTTCCCAAGGGAGTATGATGGTGCCTGTGTTCAGATGAGAATGTCTTATAGCCCGGCTGCACAGTTCTTTCTTTTCTTCGTTCAATGGTCCGATTGCCACCTGGCCGGTGCTCTTGGACTCTTGCGGATCCTCATTTTTCAGGTCAAAATTCAAACTTTTTTTTTTTTTAGCATTTTATTTCTGAATTATGAGATATATAATTTGATTAATCTCCATTCATAAAGCTTCTAACTTGCATACACTACAGGTTTATGCAGATGGCACCACCACCATGTCTACTCATGAAAGGAAGGCTAGCATTAGAGAATTCTATGGTATAATCCCAATTTGCCAAACATAATTGATATATGATTTAATATCCAAATTATATTTCTATATCTATTTTTGTCCCGTTAACATTAGTGTCATATCAGAATATCAGTCACAGTACAATACATGTCAAACGAAGTACAACCTGTGTGATGGGGTTATGTGGGATTTTAAGAAGATTGTGTTTTACATCTACCATCTTTTTTTTTTAATTGTTTTAAGGAGTTGATGTTTAGGATGATGATATGATGGATAGGTATTATATATCCATCTTTGATGCAACTTCAAAGTGGTGTGAGTGATTCGGAAGAGAAAAAACAGAAGAAGGTATGCATGGAAAGGTATAAGAAAAGAGAAGATGAAGATCATAATCGGTGTTCTGATGTTGACATTGAACGTGAAGAAGAATGTGGTATTTGCATGGAGATGAATGGCAAACTTGTTTTACCAAAATGTAACCATGCAATGTGCTCAAACTGCTATAACGATTGGTATGATTCTTTATCTTATCAATGAATATACATATTATGCTTTTGCAACAAAAAAAAATAAAAAAAATGTTGATTTTTGTGAAGGCGAACAAGGTCGCTATCATGCCCGTTTTGCCGGGTGAGTTTAAAGCGAGTCGACTCGGGGGAGTTGTGGGTGTACGTTGACTATAAGGAAACAATTGACATGGCAACAATAACAAGAGAAAATTTGAAAAGATTGTTCATGTATATAGACAAGCTGCCTCTTGTTGTCCCTGACTCAAATTTTGACACCTATGATTCGCATTTGATGTAAGCGAATTGACTAATTTACGTATCTACCCCTCTTTATTTGGTGGTTAGATGAAACCCGGCCCGAGAGTTTGTTGTGGGCACGGGGTTTGAAGTGGAGGTAGATTTTACTTGCAACATAAAAAAAGGGTTGTTTGGTAATTGTATGTAGTAAATATGTATATGAATATGATATGCTTGAATGGTGACACATTAAATGTCTGTTATGCCCTTGGGATCGTGAGTGAGTTGGAATCTTAAAGCTTTGCTGATATGGTAAATTTATGTATAGATTTGGAGTTTGGTTTGCAGAGCTTTTGGAGTTATCGTTAATGATAATCTTGACTATTGGTTTCATATTTTCTTTTGGGGTTCGTCTTTAATTTTAGTCGATTATTAAAATTATTTTTTACAGCTACCCTTTTTCTATGTATAGAACACCTGTATTTTCTGGTTTTTTTGGTTAAATCAAAACGTTTTTTTTTTTTTTTAAAAAAAAAACCCTTGTATTTTCTTATTTTCTGAGTACGTTTACTGATGATCTTATTTTTTTCCTGGAAAACTTCCATCTTATTTGAAAAAACTCACATTTGACACTTTTTTAGCTTATGATTCCTTGGTTTTGTTGTTTATTGTGCTATTGATGTTACAACATCATAATCCGAAGTAAACATTTCATATTTTTAGTTAAAGAGATAATATCTTGTTAGAAAAAACATATATCAAAATCGATTTGCTAATGGTTCAAAGAAAGCAGCATAGATCAAAAATCAACTACCAAAATCAAAAAGAAAAAACAACTTACAGCAGGGAAGAAAACGGTATAGGTTAACTTAGTATCTTATAATTATATGGTTTTCAAAATAAAAAAGAAAAAATAAATTACAAACTTCAATAATATATCTTTGTTTGGTATCTAATAGCTTTCATGAATTTTCTATTAGAAACATTTTCAATTTTATAAGTGATGATAGGCCATAGTAATCTTATTAGATTTTTTAACTTATTTTTAATAGCAGAGTCAGCAAATTCGTTGAACAATGTATTATTATTCATTTTCCAATTAAGAGATGTAAAACCTTCAATTGGCAAACATAAGGTTTTGGAGACTCAGGTTTTGTGTCTGCTAATAAAGGTTCTTTGCATTCTAATTTGAAATTAAATAATAATAATTCAATTTTTAAACAATTTGTTGGCTGTAATTGAAAAAGCTAGAAATTTGCAAGAGTTTTTTGGAATAAAAAACGTTTAGGTTTAAAAACAAAAAATAAAAATATGAAGTTTTTTATATGGTAAACCCTATCTTTTTTATTTATTTATTTTAGCTATTTTATCATCTATATATAAAATGTTGAATAAAAAAACTTTCAATTTCATTTGTTTTTTTTAACATACATTATATTTTAAACTGCCCAATTTTAAATGGACTACTTAATATAATACTAGTTTATAACTCGTGAAAACTACGGTTATAAAATTAATTAAACTTTTATAGTAAAACTCAAAACTATTAATCAATTGTTTTAAATAAATTATTAATTAAGAGACATTTTTATTAGTTATGTAAAATTATACTTGTGGATTCAAATAAATATGTAAAATTACTTTTCAATATATATTAGATAGTTTTTATTTGTGAATTAATGAAAACAATAATATAAAATTAAAAATGGATAATAAATAGATTGACAAATAATATCACATTAATTAGAAGGTGTAATAAATTTAAAATTAAGAATTGATAGATTGACAAAAGGTATCATATTAATTAAAAAATCTAATATCAAAAAAACTACCCTTTTATTAGTATAAGAAGATTTGATAAATATATGTAAAATACAATGACGATGAAATTAAAACAAGACAACTACCCAATTTTAAATGGAATACTTTATGTAATGTTTGAAAAATACATGTAAAATACAATACGACAATGAAATTAAAACAAGACACTATAATAAAAAGATAACTGAAAATAGTTTGTTATTTCTTGCATTTTTTTTGTTGGAATACGTTTGATTACCCATTTACCCTCATAAATATTTACATAAATGCATTACAACATTGCTATATTTAACCATACAATCAAAAAACACTTGATCAGCGCAAAACCACATGATACACCAATATGCATGTGAGACATGAGATTTACAAAGTAAAAGAGATATATATATATATATATATATATATATATATATATATATATATATATATATATATATATAATTTTCATTAAATCCGGAAACTTTATCAAAAAATAATAATAATAATAAGTAAGGGAGCAGAGCTATTTTTGATGGCTGAGAAATTCTTTCATGTGTGCATAAATTTCAGTTTTGACTATAAGTTGCATCTTTTTGGAGTCTTCCCATAGCAAACTGCTATATTCTCTTGCAAAGTCGCATGCTGCTTCAAACACATCCTACAAACAAATAATTCATATGAGTTAAATAGCAACCTACTTTTTTTTTTGTTTTTTTTAATATAGTATCCTACTTTCAAATAAATGAAAGTACTTTCTTACCCTTGATGGAAAATCATCAAAGAAATGCGCAGGTGTCATCTCTACCCTGTTTAGATCTGATTCCCACAGCCTTATCTGTTGTTTATCAAATACTAAATATCAATCCAACAAAAATAACATGTTTTTATTTTTATTTTTTACGTTTGTTTGAAGATAATGGGAAATTTGGAGCAACCTGATCTGTGACATTTTCAGGTACAGATGGCACTTTTTCTGCAACACGAGGATGAGCATTCTGCTGAAGAAATGAAATTATCTGCACATCAAGAAACAACAAGAAATATTACTTTTTTTTAGTAGGGTCAAATGCAAGAAAAAGCAAATACTTCCATTGATTTTCTTATTATAGCACCCTACTTTCATAGAAAATACAGACCGAATTTCATTACCAAAATTGGGAAAGTAAAAATTTCCTAATATGGAAAGAAAAATATTTTTTTTCTTTCTATTTGGATGTTTGATGCTTGCCTGGTCTGCTGTAATGCCATTTGAAAAGGCTTTGTAGAGGTTCTCTTTTGTAATGGATCCAACAATCAGGTTAGGAAGTTGATATTCTACCCTGTGCAAAGTTACACATAATAAATGAGACACAAAATTACCATATTATTATTGTTATTATTAACCCTCTGTCTATTTCTACAAACTCATTGGTTTTACAAAATTTATAGTAACCACCATATAAACAAATAAAGTCATGGATTACCTGGCAAAGAGTCTCAAGATTTCACAATGCAACTTAGAGGTGGAATAGGCATATAGCCTGAAGTTAGTTTCCACAACAACATATCCCTGGAAAAAACACCACAAACACAAATTTCAGCTCACTAAAATCATAATTCTTTTCAACATTGTCAACATATGCAAACACCCCTTTTATTCCAAAATGCAATTTAACATATTGGAATTTTGTAGCCACATCAGCAAACAATATTAACTTAGAGATAAGGTAGGTACCATTTTCCTTGATGATGCATCTGACAAGCTTATAGAGAGATTGGTAGCCAGTTTTGTAGGAATGAACCAACTATCTTTCCTCCCCTACAAAAAAAAAAAGATACCAATTAGCCAATTGTATGCAGTTAGAATTTTGAATTCTACTTTTTTATTTTTTCTTTCTTATTAAGGCATTGTAGGTTAAAGAAATTTATAGAAGTGAAATTGCATTTAACTCTTACACAAATATGGTAAAAAAAATGGAGTAGCATTCACCTGTTGGAGTTTGATGAGTCCCAAATCTGCAAGATCTTTAACTGTTATCCTTTGTATCTCGTCTAAAGTGTTCATATTATATGCCTGTTTTTGTTTTCAAATCACATTTATGCTTTAAAATATATATATTAAAAAATGAAAAAAAAAATTGATACCTCGCCAGTAACATGAAAGCTAAGTTCTAGCAGAAATGAGATCAGATCTGCAGAGTCCACTCCTCTGTCCTGTTCATAAAAAGTTCAAAAAGGACTCAAAATATAGTATTTAGAGAAAGAATATAGAAAAATTGGATACAGATGCAAAAAATATGTTGAATACCTCTGAATTACTGATATACTCCCTGATGATATACCAGAGTTGTGCATTGGTATCCATTAGCTGTAATGCAAAAAAAAAAAAAAAAAAAAAATGATATCAATAATTTTAATAAAATACAGAATATAAATAAATTTGAGTACATATATTTCATACCAGGAACTGAAAACCACTTTCTGTGAGACGAGAACCTTCATTGTCCCTATGGAAATGTAAATCAACCATCATGAGATTCATATTTTAAAGAGAAAAATGGTATATAATTTTAAGAAATAATTTGAAAAAGCACCTTTGACTTAAAAGGCCTCGTTGGAAGACTTTCATCATGGAAGGACTGATGCTCTTTGTTGTAACCTCAACTTCAGCAGAGTTTATGAGATGCAGCAAGAAACACTAAATTGCCACAATAGCAAGTCATCAAAGAGAACATACAGATACTGAAGCTGCAAAATGATTAAAGATAGAAACCCAAATATATTCTTCACAGTTTAATGAAAGTAACACAAACTACATAAAAAGATTATACAAGGTTGGTTTCATACCTCCCATTGTTGAGCAGCATAGTTGTCTAACTCCTCTAAGCTTGGGAGTCTTACTGTTATATTTGCAGCCATAGGTTCTCTTGGTAACACACCACTACAAAAAACACCTCATATGTCACATACATACATACATACATACATAAGCAATCAGCATTGGAGATGAGTTGGGATACAAGTTTCAACAATAGAGGTATATAAGCTTTTTTCCCATTAAGTCATTCTTTCTGCATTAAGTCAAAACGAGACACACACATATAGCTTACTAAATTAAGTGATTTAAGTCATATGACTTACCCATGAACAACATGCTTCCGAAGGTTCATCTGAAACATCAGGTTTAACCTGTAAGTGGCTTCCTTCTTCCTGGAGACACAATTCAGAACTTCAGCAAATAGACTTAATTCAAAAGGGAGAGACTTTATATAATCTTGAATTAAATGGCAAACGAAGTAGGCAATGATCTAATGAACTGAAAATCATCCATCAATAGATAAACAAGATAGGTAGGGAACTCTATTTGAAAAAGAAAAAAGTAAAAGGGAATTAAGCAAACACATGTACCTATCAACAGTTTCAGTAAATACTCTCAATTGAATGAGTCTATCAACAGCAACTCTATGCTTTGAAGCACCATCAACAAGAACCCATTCTTGCAATGAACTGGCTGACACAGGCACATCTATGTACAACAACTGGAGAACATACTTTTTGGCCAATGGTGGCAAAGACCTGAACAACAAAACGTGGTTAACACATTGTGTAAATGATCAAACATCAAACGTATATTAACAAT